CTAAAAAACATAGCAATTGATTGGATTTATAACAATCTACCATTTTCTCATTGATTCGCAGAGCTTGTTATTATATAGTGAGAGATGAAGTAGGGTTCTACTGAATTGCGATTCTGTAGGGAGTGGCTATCAAATATAGATTATGAATTCAATGTGGCATTGACAGAGTATACATGGATTACACAAATTAAGGATTGATCAGAGTATTGTCTCGATTGGGGTTGTCCATGGCTGTTGTAAATGGGTAATTCTTGATTTGCATTCTTTATCTTTTTTTTGAAACAATTTGTTTGTTATTTTTTTCGTATTCTGTTTCATCTACACGGGTTATATGACAAAGCAGACGAAAACTCCTGTTGACATTGTGTTGTGGTGCTCTTGGCTTCTTCTCATTTTCTTTTGCCTATGTGACTCTATAACATTATTAGGAATTTATGGATATATCTTTTAATCTATGATGTTATAAGTTTCTAATTCTATTTTCTTACTGTTTTGCTATTTAACTCATAAATGTGCATTGTGGACTTATCCAATTTCCATGGATGAATTTAACAGTATAACCCTGCAAGGGCTAGTATGTTACTAGTGTGCAAATAAATTAGCTGCCACTTTGAATTGTTTAGCTCAGTGAATTCTTCAACCAACTGAAATTGGTAAAAAGCATATGTGAAAAGTGAAGAAAAAACAAAAAAAATGTAAAATATATTAGGCGAGAAAGGTGTTTTTAAAGATGGATGTGTCATGAGAGTTGAGTGTAATCTAAAGGAATGGAAATCTATTAATTCTCTGGTCATTAAAACTAGCTTACAAGATTATGTTTGTAATCTTGTTTCCCCTTTGAATGTGCTTGTTGTATGGCTTGTTCATTGATTCAGTTGTCAATGACATGTGTACCTCAATTGCATTCGTAGTGGCTTAATTGCTAGAAGAGATTGACTTCTCATGGTTGCATCTTGCATTTGCAACCAGGATTTGGTTGTTAACACACGGCTGTTTTGAAATTTTCATTTTATAGTTTCAGGATTTATAGCCAGTGACATTCTTTATTGTTTGTTGGAGGTTATGTGGAACTTTGTAGGGACATAGTCTGACATTGAACCGGGTTATGATACTCTCTTCTCTTTTGGCATCATTGTTTTAAATATTAAGAGATTGCATGCGTATAGAAAAATAAAGAGAATGCTAATAATCTTAGTGGCTTATAGGAAAGTTCATTCAGTGTTCTTCTAAAGATATAGATATAGGAAAGAGAATGCTATAGATATAGGTGTTTCTTCTTATGAATGTTGTTTTGTGCAAATAAAACCATAAACTTCATTTGTGATATTTATTTATTTTCATCCATGTATTTTTATGTGATACTTTTGAGTAACTTGAGTATTTCATGTGTCAATAAGCTTGTTTTGACATCTATAGCAGTATCATAGATTTTACACAGGTCTCATTTCTGGTGGTGATAAATGTTTCATCCAGATAAGCAGTTATAAAATTAGATTGCCTTCGATTTCCATGAACCAATTTTCCTGCCATAAAATTTCAAACTTCAAGGTGAATGATGTATAACTTGACATCTAATGTTGCTATGAGCACAAATTGCTAGGGATATTAGTTCCCCAATGTTATATTGCGTAGATGATGGGCACAGAGTGCTTAATAGGTAGATTAAGTTTTTGTATTTTGATGGCCACCTGCTTTTGTCAATTTAATCCAAGATTGCTATAGGTACTAGTTTGGATGAAAATTGAATTCTATGAAGGTGATCTTATGGATGTGGTTGGATGAGAGGTGAAGTCATCACTATGTTTATTATGGTAGGTTGTTATATGATGGAGCTTTTTGTTTAATACAAAATGAATAGGACAGTGGCACCCCAGATGCTATGAAATCAGAGGGGAATGATTCACTTGACACTTTTATCAAACAGGCAATAGGGAAAGCGCCTCCCCTTTCTTTCTCAAGGACAGGAGAGGGGGGAAAAAAAAAGTATGAGCCATGTAACGGCCTGGCCCTCTTTCACAAGAAAGCAGCAAACTAAGACAACAAAAGAGGATAACATTTATCACCCTACATTGTGGATGGTGATCGAAAAATAGACTTGGAGAATACCTAGGTGTAGTTGAAGTTGAACCATTTCTCCAGTATAGGCTGCTGACCTCATTTCTATGTGATACAACATAAGTTATGAGGATGGTTTTTTACTGAGGATAAAATTCATATAGGATTACCAAACCAATTATAGGTAGGTTGATCAGTATCTTAGTTGCACGAAGCTGGGGCAGGGATGGGAGCTAGGGAGTGAAGGGCATATAGAAATTTCTAAAGTTGGGAGCGCTTGTAGAAGCGTGTGTATACTTTATTTATATATTAAAATATTAATTTATTCAAACAATTGTTTTTTCTATTTAGTTGCAATATTTGTTAAAATATGAATAAATATTAGAAATTGATGTCAATCACAAATTGTCTTTATTAAGAATAAATAAACTTTATGTAAATAGAAAGTATTAGAATAAGTTTAAGTTGTTTTCTTTTATTTCTTTGGGCTTTATATGTATGAGAGGTTATATCTTAGTTGGGACCGAGTTTCTTACTAGTTTTGTACTTGGTAGCGTGAAATCAAGTTTCTAAGCAACAAATGTCACCCAAGTAAGAGTTTTCTACCATGAAGATTAGTATACTAGGACTTTGGTCATTTCCCATGTGTGGTGGGTCCAACTTCAATCCACATACCTATCTTGTACAAAGTACTACTGTCTTGATATTGGAAGAACGGTAATGTTCTGAACAACTTCTAAATTCTGCTGCGCTGCTTTTGTGCTAAGTATTTGTTAGAACAGTTGATTTTGAACGAATATCCCTCCTAGTTTCCAATCTTTTTCTTGTGACTTAGTCATGTTACTTAAAATTGGTGGTGCTACCCAAGTCAAATGGCCTATGGTTTCTCCCAATCATCCTTCTTGTGTCCACCTACCATAACAAATTCCAAGGTCTGAAATCAAAGTCCATATTTGAGAATCTCTCACAACATTTAGAAGCTCTTTTTTTTTATATGTTTCTGCAATTACATTGACTGTTATTTTATTGAGATCTATTTTGTTGAATTTCTAGGAGAGATATCATGCTACTGATTGTCTGTTAGTTTGAATTACTTGAGCTCGGGATATGATTATGGCCGGCAACAGATGCTTTATTTGTTGAAGATTAATATGAATGACTGGATTGGACTTGGGTATGTTGAGGTTTATGCTTTATGGAAATGTAAATTTCGGGTATTATATTGAACATTTTATCTGGAATAAAAGTGCGGTTTTCTTATATATATAAGAACGAACTTGGTTGAGTAGGTTATCTAAAATTCTAGCGGTCCATGATCTTGTTGCAGTTTAAGAAACCATAATCATTTCTCTTCTTTCTTTCACCAAGTTTCTTTTCTTTTCTCACCTAACGAATCAAAGGGAGTGTAAAAGTTATTTATCAAAAAAGAAAAAATGGGAGTGTAAAAGTTCAGTCAAAAGTCATGACTAGGTGCTGCAATTCAAATTCTGTACTGTTGATTTGTCTTAGAAATTTTATTACAAGTTTGCTTAGCAGTAGGAAAAAGATTTTGTTAACTTTAATGACTTTCAAAATTGGGAATGAAAATTTGTATGGTATACTGATTTTGTTTTTAAAAAATAGAATTGATGCCAAAAATTTTAATTTTTTTGAAAAAAATAAAGGCATTCTCACTTGTTTTTAAAACGAGTTTTCGCTCTCTTCTTCTCTCATTACATCTGCCCACCATCCACCTGCCACCATCAACAACCACAATGCACCACTGGCGATCCTCCAGTGAGTTTTGGCCACCATCAGGCAAGCTTTGAGAATCGGATGGTCACCTCACATGACCTTTAACGATACTTTGGCCATCAACTCTAGTGGCTACTTCTGGCTACTCCAATCAATGGCCACCACATCCATCCACCTTACATCACTAATCACCCATCTCCCCAACTCACCAAACATATTTCTTCATTTTTTGTTTCATTTGTTGTCCAAAAAAAAAAAAAAAAAAAACCAAAAAAAAAAATTGTGTATACCAAACAATTTTTTTTTGTTTTTAATTTTATTTATTATAAAAAAAACTGATAACATTATAAAATGTTACCTTAGGGTTGCTCTTCGGATTGTGGGGTTTAGGCTGATTGAACTATTGATGTTCAAGATAACTTTATCAATTAGTATCGATTCTCAGTATTAGTTTTTAGTGTTTCCATAAGCAAAATTTTATAGGGCCAACATAAATGCTTATTAGAATCATCTCCATTTCATGAATATAATAGAGATATTTAATATAAGGTCAATGATTATGAAATAATCACTTTTTTTCTCACTAACACATATATCAAGTGTCTCATAAACATTGTGTACATAGTGATTTAAACCAATCACGTAGTAGAAATTTTGTAATTGATAACTTCGGTGTATTAGAAGGAAAAAAAAAAAGGATTCACTTAATGTATATTGAGCTTTTACATTAATAAGATAAATTATATAAATAATGTTACATGATATTCTTAAAATATCTAATAGTTCTCGGATAAGTAACCATACTACTAGTCCAGATAATTTCAAGTGTGGATAAATTTTAAACGTAAGAGTTACATGCATTGCCAATCTAGACACCCCAATTGGTTTCACAAAAGAAGCACTTGACAGTTAATATGTGTGAATGAATAGCATTTATTATGAATGTAATACACACCACCAGAAGTCTTTCCTATTTGTATGTGTTTATTTCTATTATTTTATTTGGGGTCTTTCTCTCATTTCCTAAGTTTATAAGTAATTTTAATTTGTCTCGTAAATATTGATTCAATTCTACAATTACATATATTATAATAAAATTATTCATATTATTTTGACCCTCTTTTTTTAACCTTAATCTTTTTGAAGTACAGATCCTGATAATAATATCATCTAATTTATATAGATAGAGATAGAGATAGAGATACCTTCGAAGCACAAAAAGATCAGTTCAATCAAACAAGCTGGCCTACCTGCCAAATGTTTTTGTAACTGTAGGACAAAATAACAACCTAAAACCCAGAAGACCAAAAAAACTACCTACTACATATACCTATCGGTATTTTAGATCTCCAATATTGTTATTAGTTGATATATCAGTTGATAGTATTCGATACGGATCGATATTTAACTATATCACTGATATATATATACAAATCCTAATGCCGCTATTTAAAACATGCCTCCGAGCCAACATTTAATCATTAGAGTTCATCTAAAACCAAAATCAATTTGCATAGGCTTTGAACCACCGAACTCCATTCTTTGATGCATGATGCATAGGTCCACCATTGACAGCTCAACCATCTGCACTCAAAATTTGAAGAGAAAAAAAAAAGGTCAAATTAAAACACAATTAAGAGTGCCATAAGATAAATCATTCAAAAAATCAAGATGATAATATATTAATAGTGTCATATAATCAAATTGTATTTGTCTTATAGAAAATAGACAATTTCCTGTCTATTTTTTTTTTTATAAAAAAATTGTGATTCGATTATATAACTACATCTACACCTATCAACTTAATTTTTTTGTATAATATTTTTCTTACCAATCATTAAGTTAATATTGAGATGGACCCGTCAAATCCAATAACAGAGTTAAATACCAAGTGACAAAAAAGGCCATTGCCCACCATAACTAAGCAAGCAAAGTCTATTTACCAGTAGGGAAGGTGGATTTAGATCCAAAAAGCTCTTGTGTGGATGGTGGCATGGAAATTGAGAGCTGGGTAGTTGAGAAGCTTCCATGGCTTGATTGGTTTTCTTCTTCTTCTTCAATATCAAGCCAAGAAGTGTACTCTCTGCTCTTCGGCTGCCATTCTCCGAAGAAGTGATGAAAAGGCTTCTGTTTTTCCTCTCCTCTCTCCACTTCCATTGGCTTTCCTGATCTAAAATCACTGCCTAAAACAAAACAATGCTGCTTTTGTTGTTGTTGCTGCTGTTGTTGTTGTTGTTCTCTTGACTTACCACTGCCAGTGAGGCTGTGAAAGTCTAACTGAGAGTAGGCAGTATTAGAAGAACTCGTTGTCAAAGGCGTCCCTGAAGCTTCTGGGAAAGGGGCTCTCGAGTCCACCTCATCTCTCACTCCATGAACATAACTGCTTCAAACAACCAGTCACAAAAATGCATAGGATTTTACTACACATGTATTACAATTAGAGCATACATAAACTATTTTTTTCTCAATTTTCTTATGACTAAAAAGATAGTAGCATCCACAATAATAAATACAAGTAGAACATATTGCCAGAGATGGCTCAACCATTAGGCTGTCACTTAAGGCTCACAAAGAAAATTTCAAAAAATTTCATTGTCGAAGGCTCCATCTTTTCAAAAGCTCAGTTAGAAAAAGCCTCATTTTGGTGCTTAGTTGAGGCTTCCAAAAATCTTATGCCGCTACTGCATATACTTTATGTCGGGGTGATAAGAAAATATGATAAAAATCCATTTATGTATAATATTTTTTTTACAATTTTTATTTTAAATATTGTTCGATATATATCAGGATTTTTAGTCTTCTTCTTCTTAAACCAATATAAACATGGTCATGAAAACCATGTATATCAGTTGGTTTGTGATACATATCGATTCATAGTACAACTTATTCAGATGCATCATTTGATTCTCGATATTTATCACTCAATACTTCTATTATAGCTAAACTTTTACTAATATACCAATTCATCTACTGATACCACTAGTCAAAACTTTGATTACAATCAAACCTGTAATCTTTATGTGCCTGAGAGTATGATCCAGAGTCTGAAAACAGATGATGGGTAGTGTTACTCTGAGGTGATAAAAAAAAACCAGGTGGTCTAGAAGAAGATGATGAATGAGGATTGAGAAAGGGGTAGCTTTCAGCAGATAGAGAGTAGGAGATGATAGAGGTGGTGGTGGCGGCGGCACCAGCAGAGTTTGGATTTGTTGTGGGGGGCATTGAAGAGGAGTTAGTAGTAGTAGTAGTAATGACTTCCACAGGCTTTCTTGAACGGTGTCTGCCTCTATGCATGTGTCTCTCACAGTACTTGGAGTCTGGATGAGCTTCCTTTGAGCACCTCCATTTCTTCCCATCTGTTCTTCTGCACCTCCCTGGCTCTGGGTCTACTTTTCTGCCATAACCCATCTCAAAACTTCCCCACCCTACTGCCAAAAACAAAAAAAGAAAAAGAAAAAGGAAAACTAACTCAGACACACACACAAGCATGGTAATTCAGCCCCCAGATGTTGATAGCTTAGTTTTCACAAATTTTTTTTTTTTTTTTTAATACCAAATGCAAGTTCTTTTGAAACTTGATTCTCCAATCTAAACGGTTTAACCCCAAGTTATGTCATAAAGTTGTGTTAGTTTAGAGTTGAAGTCGTGTTTAACATAACTTTGAAAAGTTATACATTAAATCAGTTGAAGTTGTGTTATCAAAATGCAATTTTAAATTTTTTTCACAGCAAATCAAATGAAGTCTTGTCATCAAAACACAACTTCAACTTTAAATTCGTCTTTTGAAAACATTATGTGATTATACAACCTAGGTCTGAAAATAAATTTGAGTGATTAATAAAATTTAAATTGGTTATATATTCTTTAAGATACTAGTTAGCAAAATTTTAAATTTAAAACTACATTTGGTATAAAAATAAATAAATAAATAAAACTCCAGAACAAGTAGAGAACTAGGGAAGTATTCATAATTTCTTTAAAAACTTACTTGGTTGGTGGGGGTAAAATCTTGAAGACATTACTGAAGAAGACTCCATGCTTGTTTTAACAGTTGAGATGAGATGTGGAGGGATTGGAACTCCTGACACCATGTATTTGAAGATCAGAGCTTGTTGTTCAAGCTCTTGCCACTGTGTTGCTGTGAATGGACACTTGGTTCTTGCACTCATCATCATCGTTTTCTTTTTTCTTTTTAGGGTTTAGGAACAGAAGAAGAACTTCAAAATAGACCAAGAAAATGAACAAGAAGAAGGAAGAACAGGACCAGCTTGTGAAAAGCCATCAGGGTTTCACAGAGAAAGAAACAGGGGGTGAAAGAGAAGTTTTTGCAGAACCCATTGGTTGCAGAATCTTCTCTGTACAATGCATATAAAATACTAGTAAAAGAAAGAAAAATTAGTAGTTGTTTGTTAGGATGTAAATAAGTGTATTTTATTTTATTTTTATGAAGTATGTGTTAAATTTAAAGTAATATAATAGAAAGATAATACGATTTAAATAAGATGATATAATTTAAATAGAATAATAATTTTTTAATTTTTTTAACCTATAACAAATAAGACATTATTGGTTCTTGAGACGTTACATCAGATCTTATACTAATCATAATTTAATATATTTTATAATTATTTAATATTAATTTATAAATCTTATTTTTTTATCAATCATATTATTATTAAAATAATACGTGATGGGGTCCAAGATTAACCAATAACGTCTTATAAAAAAATATCATGGGCTATAATGATACTGTTAGCTTCTGACAACACCACTTTCTTCATTCAGTCTCTCCTCCTGAGTCCTGAGTCTGTTCTGCTCTTATTATGACTGCAACTCTGTTGCTTCTGCTCTGCATGCCTCTGTTGCCCTTTGTTGCTGCTGTTACTGTTCTATCTGCGACCTTTACTGAAATTCATAAACAAATGGAGAGTAAAAAGAAAGATTTTTCATTTGTTTAATATATTTCCAAACTATTTATCCTTTTTTAACATAATTTTTTTTTTTTATAAAGAAAAAAAATGAGATTGTCAAGATTTTTTTTGGCTATGCCTAAGGGTTGGTTTGGGAAGTGGGTTGGCTTTTTGGCTTTTTGGCTTTTTTGGCTATTTTAGCCTGGGCTAAAAAGCTTGGTTTGGGAAGGACTTTTTGGCTTTTTTAGCTTTTTTTGTGAGAGAAGAGTGTAATGATTATGGGTTGGATGTGATGTTTTGTTTTTTGTGGCTAAAATAGCCTATTTTATCTTTTGTGGCTAAAATAGTCAAAAAAACCCAAAACCTATGTTGCCAAACAGAGGCTAAATGAGTCTTAGAGTTTTTTGGATCATAAAGATTAATAGAGTGATGAATCGCACACTTTTGAATTTATAATAGTTTATTTTGAAAAGATAGTTAAAAGTTAATTTTTTAATATTTTTTAAAAAATGTATAGAAAAGGTAAAAAATGATATGAATTAAAATAGATTAAAAGTTAAAAAATAATTTTGAACTATCTTTCTAAAATATGGTTAAAAGTTATCTTTCAGTTTTTAATTTATTTTGAATTACATTATCTCTCTATTTTTTACAAATTTTTTCAAAAACAATCCAAAAAAATTAATTTTTAATCAACTTTTCAAAATAATCCAAAATGAAATAATGTTTTTTTTTTGTTACAGCAAAATCCTCCCTACTCTCCCGTAGGTATGTTAGTTTCACTTGACGCGTGGTTATCCGACTGAGGGCACTTGTATAATTAAATGAGTAGTGATTCAGAGCTAGCTCTAATGACTGGCAAATCAAAAAAAAAAAAAGGGGGTCAAAACATCACATCAAAATAGGTGATTATTCAGTATCGTCAGAATATGGGCACGTGGTGTATCATAAGGTTTTGATTGGTAGAAAATGATAGGGGTCACGATTTATATTGGGGATGGAGAAACAATATGAGAGTTGAGTAATTAATGATTGACTTAAAATATAATCATATGATATTATGAGATTATTAAATAATTTCTCCATCATAAAAGGGTCTACTTCCATTCAAAATTATTTATTAAAGTTTACAATCATTAGGGTGTTTTGAGAAGTTGATAAAAAAAAGTTAATTTTTTGACTTTTTGATTTTTTTACAAAAAAGTTAACTTTTTTAGTAGCTTTTTTTTGTAACTTTTTTAGAAAAATTAAAAACGTTAGTAAAAATTAGCTTTTTTGTAACTTTTTAGTAAAAATTAAAAAAATTATTTTTTTACCAAGTTACCAAATTGCTCAATTTTTATAATTAAATCGGTGATAGTGTTTAAAACCTAGGGATGGTGTCTATAGGATTGACGTATGCCCCTTCTCCTCCTGAGTAGTCCTTAGCTTCGTTTGACTTGTTGGCATTTTAAATAAATAAATAAAAAAAAATAAAAAAAGAAAAAAGGTACAAAAGATATGATAGATTTAGGGCTTGTTTGATCTGTTTTTGGAAGGATTGTTTTTGAAACTTTTAAAAAAAATTTGTTTAGTTTGTGATTTTTTTCAAAAAAATTTGAAAACTATTTTTTTTTTTTTTACACATCAATTAATTACTTTTTTTTTCTCTCTTCTCTATCTCAATCACTTTTTCTCTCATATACATTTACTCAACTACAACAAAATATCACATCATCACAAACTACCAAACTATTTTCAAAATATGCAACCAAACAAACCAAAAAAATTTCAAAATACACTCCAATTTTTTTTTAAAAAAATTTATCTCAAAATACAAATCAAATTCTCCCGTATATTTCACCATCTCTGGAGCTCTCAACTGGTTACTATATAGGCTGACAGAGTAAGGTACAAAAGATATGATAGATTTAGGGCTTGTTTGATCTGTTTTTGGAAGGATTGTTTTTGAAACTTTTTAAAAAAATTTGTTTAGTTTGTGATTTTTTTCAAAAAAATTTGAAAACTATTTTTTTTTTTTTACACATCAATTAATTACTTTTTTTCTCTCTCTTCTCTATCTCAATTATTTTTTCTCTCACACACGTCTACTTAATTATAACAAAATATCAAATCATCCTAAACTCTCACACTCAAAAATTACTTTCAAAATATACAATTAAACAAACCAAAAAAATTTTTGAAAATCACTCTCTCAAAAGCAAACTAAACACACCCTTAGTGTTTGTTTGGCCGGCACTAAAAAAGTATACTTTTTTTATATACATATACTTATTTAGGTCGCTTCAATCAACATTTGTTCTCTTTTTTTTTTCCACTTTATCTATTTTTCTACATATTTTTTATAAAAAGTCAAAAAGTACACTTATTTAGAATCGCTCAAATATCTCCTAAATAAATTAATAAGATAAAATATTACATTTAAATTATAATCATTTTATTTTTATTTTTAAAAAAATTCAAAAAACATTTATAAAAAATTGCCAAATTAAATTTTTAGTTCCAAATTAAAAAAGTCTCAATTCTAAAAAGATAACTAAAAAAGTTTTTGCCAATCGATGACTTTTATTTATGTTAGTATGTATATTTCTCCCTATATGAGAGAGTTCAAGAACGTCGTTGAAAAATTCAAAAATCTTCGAAGATCTTTGAAGAAAAATTCGAATTCTTTAAGGCCCTGTTTGATTGGAGGATATGAAGATTGGGATTGAATATTATATCCGGTAGGGTCCATATATCCCATTGTAATTTTTTTTGAAAGGAATATAATATCCGGTGGAATTGTATATCTCCCAAAAGTGGAGGATATATAATACCACCCCCCCATTATATCATATCCCTTTGGTTGGGATATGATGTAAAAAGTCCAATTTACCCTTTTGTCTATCTAACATAATATAATTTAATATATTTTTTTGAATTTAATATAATATAATTATTGAATTTAATTTAATATTATTGAATTTAATATAATATAAATATTATTGAATTTAATATAATATAAATATTATTGAATTTAATATAATATAAATATTATTGAATTTAATATAATATAAATATTATTGAATTTAATATAATATAAATATTATTGAATTTAATATAATATAAATATTATTGAATTTAATATAATATAAATATTATTGAATTTAATATAATATAAATATTATTGAATTTAATATAATATAAATATTATTGAATTTAATATAATATAAATATTATTGAATTTAATATAATATAAATATTATTGAATTTAATATAATATAAATATTATTGAATTTAATATAATATAAATATTATTGAATTTAATATAATATAAATATTATTGAATTTAATATAATATAATTAATATAATATATGAGGGCAATCTTAAAAATTACTTGTTATATCCCACAATATATTTTGTAAACAAAACATGCATAACATATATCCAATCTTATATATAAAAGTCAACAATATGACTTGGAGATATACTATCCAATACATATATCCTATTCATTATATATCATGACTAAATCTCACATCATATTATATCCTCAATTTTATATCCAGTGAAACAAACGGGGCCTAAAAGATGATGAGAGGCTTAGGCTCCGTTTGGTAAGCCTCTCAAATTATAGTTTCACCCATTGATTTGAGTGTGTTGTTTGTTTTGAGTTTTCAAATCATAATTCTACACCCATTTTTCAAAACTCAATTCAAAATATAATCATTACTTTTTAAAACTCACAACCAAACACATATTTCAAACTCTTTTCAAAACTCAATTCAAATCAATATTTTAATTTTTTAAATATTTTAATATTTAAATGTGTTACGATTTTTTAATTTTTTAATTTTTTGAATATTTTTAAATATTTTAATTTAAAAATATTACGATTTTAATTTTTTAAATTTTAAAATATTTTATAAAAATAAATTCAAACACTATTTTATAAAAATATTTTTAAATCATAATTTTACACCCATTTCTCAAAATTCAATTCAAAACATAATCATTACTTTTCAAAACTCATAACTAAACACATAATTCAAAACTCATTTCAAAACTCCATTCAAATCAAATATTTAATTTTTTAAATATTTAAATATTTATTTAAAAATATTTTAATTTTGTTAAGATTTTAAATATTTTAATATTTAAATATGTTACGATTTTTTTAATTTTTAAATTTTTTGAATATTTTTAAATATTATGATTTTAATTTTTTAAAATTTAAAAATATTTTATAAAAATATTTTTAAATATTTTAATTTTTTATTATGTATTTGGTTACGATTTGAGTGTAGAGTTGTGAAAGTAATATGGAGTTTCGAATTATGTGTTTGGTTATGAGTTTTAAAAATAATTTCTTAATTAAGTTTTGTTTTATGTGTTTGGTTATGATTTGAGTGTATAATTGTTTTTAAATTTAAAATATTAAAATTTTAAATTATTTAAATTTTTTGAATATTCAAATTATT